TACTTGCATTTATCATTGAACTAATTATTAACAGCGTAAATGGTATGTTTTGTATTGCAGTATAATCTAACTGTAAGCATATTTACAAATAGCTTTGTATCATAGATAATCTAAAATACAAGCACTTGCTGTCCCCGTTCTAGTAATTGCAAAGAGCATTGTGAAAAACATCTAGCACTAGAGGTTGATATTAATAGAGCCTTTTCTGTATCTCTGTCCATTCTTCTTTCGATCAATTTGATGAGATACTCCAAGAAAGCTGATTCGAACGGCAATGTAATTGGTCCACCGGTTGGGAGGCCAAACTCTTCTTCAGATAGAGCTCTTGAAAAACAGAGTTGCTCAGGTAGCTTATCGGAAAAGCAAAGCGTGTGTTATCCGCCGTGTAAACTACAAAGCATCCCTTCTCTACAGCTGTTAAGCTGCTGGTAGCACTTGACTTCTGAAATGAGATTCTTTTCCTGTGGAGAGCTGCTCTCTGTTGCCATTCCCTGAACATCTTGATTAGCTTCTTTGTGTTCATCATTATTCTCTAGGAAAGCAAAAAAAATATTACTTGAAAATTGTGTTGTTGAAGTCTTTGAATTAGAGGAAGTTATGATTGATGAAGAATGCTATAGGCGTTGTTGTATTATATAGAAGAACTTAATAGATTTAGACAGACTTTGTGACAAGTTATTAAGCAACCTAACCAGACACAACACATGCTTATGTTTCTACTCTTATGTGATCATAACTCACAGGGGTCCTAAGTTGGTAATCAGTCATGTCTGCAAATGAATTTGTGGACTATATAACTTCTTTTGAGAACTGAGAAGACATGATCATGTGGGTATCAAAATCCTATATGGACATTTATATGACAAGAGTTAGGTACTAATACATTGATGAAGAATGCAAGAGGCAGTTGTTACATTATAATATGAGTAGTTGATAACTAGTCAAGCAGATAAGTCTTGGAGACAAGAGCAGCCAAAAACCAAACTCATGTTTGCTTAAGGAGCCCATGATGTTGGTTACTAGTTCCACCAGCTAAATCAAATATGAGTCACACAAATAATAGATCAAGTAAATTATTCAAGGAACAACAAATCTGGTTAAAATCAATGATCAAATAGATCGATACAATGAAACACTTGTGCTTTATGAACCAAAGATGAAAAGCATATAGTTTCATAGATTTTCTCACCAGAAAAAAGACATCGTTTCAAACATTCATTCCTACTAAAATCTCATATATAGTTTCTTAAGATAGATTAAGTTCAAATCGTACAAAAGACTTGTTCTTGTATATATAGTCTGTGCCTTTTCACAGATTTCTTGTTCCAGAGATGGTTGATGTATAAGGACATTCGTTAAAACTTAGTGAAAGAAGTTTGACTTGAGGCTAAAAGAAGCTGAAAAAATGTGTCAGTAGAATGGCACAAAGATTGCTCTTGAAACCTTAAGATTAAGTTGTGACTAAGTGATATTGAAGTTGATTTTCATATTGATGAGACAATCGAAAAGAAAGACAAAAATGATAGTTTGTATTTCTAAAATAATCTGTCTGTCTATCTACTAGAATCTTTACAAACAAAGATATTGCTTGACACTAATTCTCTAAAATACAAGCAAACGCTGAGCACTACTATGTTCCTCAAGTTGCATAGAGCATTGTGAAGAACATCTAGCACTAGAGATTGCCGTTATAAGGACGTTTTCTGTATCTCCATCCATTCGTCTTTTGATCAATTTGATGAGATACTCCAAGAAAATCGAATCGAATGGCAGCGTGATCGGTCCTTCTGTGGGGAGGCCAAACTCTTCTTCAGATATCTTCAAGAGCTCTTGAATAACAGAGTTGCTCAGGTAACTTATTGGAAACGCAAAGCGGGCTTTATCCACCGTGTAAACTACAAAACAACCCTTCTCTCCTGCGGATGAGCTGCTAGTGGTAGTACTTGATCTCTGAAATGAGATTCTTTTCCTGCTTAATGCTGCTTTCTTTTGCCATTTCTTGGCCATCTTGATTAGCTTCTTTGTGTTCATCATTTTTTTATGGGCAAAGATTTTTAGATTGGAAAGCAAAAAGAAACTTGTAAGCTGTGTTGTATAACTCTTTGAATGCAAGTTCTAGTTGATGAAGAATCCAATAGGCTTGCTGGATTATATATAATAGGAGAAATATAAGAGTTTTGATAAATTAGAGAAACCAAACAGACAGAACACATGCTTCTGTCTTTGTTGTATGTGAATGTGATCATAAGGGGTCCCAAAGTTGGTAACCATTCCTATCAAATAACCAAATTGTGGATTAAACTTCTGTTGAAAAGACATGGCCATGTGGATATGAGTATGAGTCTTATACAAAATCATTTAGATACAAAGACATGTGCCAGTGAATGAAAGATGCAGAACTTGTAGTCCCTTTGATGTTCTCAGAGATGTTAGAACCCTAAACTTGCAGAAAATTCAATGGTTGTTAATAGGTATGTAAATGAGTGAAAACGTTTCGTCAAGTTAATCTTTTGTAGAAGAATTGGAACCTTCTTTGATCAAACTGTATATTGAGATAATTTTTGTTTCTACTAAATTTTAAACCAAGAAAATTGTAGTTATCTAAGTGACTCTATATTACAAGAGTGTTGTCTATTCTCTTCTCATTGTAGCAGATTAAGTAAGTTCAAATCATAAGAACATCATCTCTTGTTCTTGTGAAATCTTCTGTGCCTTAACAGAGATTCATATGGACATATGATGAATCATAGTGCATGAAACTTTTATATGTAACTTTTGGCAGGTACAACATTTTACACTAAAATGGCTTGAAGATTTCAGAGATTTATATGAACTGTCAGAACAAGTGATTTTGGAAGTTAGATAAAGTCTCCATTTCAATGGAAGTTGATTTTTGAATTTTTACGAGACAACTTAAATTAGAGACAAAGTAAGAATAGTTTGTATTTCTGAAACAATTAATCTGTGTAATATACTATAAACTTTACAAAACACAGAGATTTTTGCTAAACTCTAAAATACAAGCAACTGTTGAGTAGTACTACATTGTTGTTCTTGGGGTTGCAACGAGCATCTAGCACTTGAGATTGACAATAACAGAGCCTTTTCTGTATCTCCATCCATTCGTCGTTGGATCAGTTTGATGAGATACTCTAGAAAAGCTGAATCAAATGGCAATGTGATTGGTCCTTCCGTTGAAAGACCGAACTCTTCTTCAGATATTTTCAATAGCTCTTGGACAATAGAGTTGCTTAGGTTTACTTAAGGGAAACGCAAAACGGATTTTATCCGCCGTGTAAACCACGAAACAACCCTTTTCTACAGCAGTTGGGCTGCTAGTAGTAATACTTGATCTTTGAAATGAGATTCTTTTTCTCTTGAGGGCTGCTCTTTGTTGCCATATCCTGGCCATCTTCATGAGCTTCTTTGCGTTTATCATCATCATTTTCAGGGTAGATTAAAGCTTGATATTAGAAAACAAGGGTGAAAAAGATTTGTAAGTTCTGTTTGTAGAGCTCGTTGAATGAAAGTTCTTGTTGATGAAGAATACCAATAAGCTTGTTAGATTATATAGAAGGAGAAACTATTAGATTTAGACAGGCTTTGTGACAAGCTCCTGAGCACTCTAACCAGACACAACACATGCTTATGTTTCTAATCTGAGGGTCCCAAGTTGGTAATCAATTATGTCTGCAATCAACTTGTGGACTATATAGCTTATAATGGTTAGAAGACATGATCATGTGGGTATGAATCCTATATGGACATTCATATGACACAGATTTAGGTACTGAGACATTATTGAAGAATTAATACAAGAGGCTGTTGTTACATTATATACATATATACAAAAGAGAAGTTGATAACTTGTATAATACAAAGGCCAAAGATGCCAAACTTTGTTTGTTAGCATAAGGATCCCTACTTGTTTAGTATAGTCCTGGACAACTTAATCAAATGTGAGTCACAAAAATAATAGATCAAGTATATATACTCAGGGGACATCAAATCTTTTTGGGAAATCAAGGACAAAAAACGTGGTGAGAGTTAATGATCATTGATTTAGATAGATACAAGGAAAGACATGTGCTGGTGAAGCAAAAATGAAGAGCATGTAGGTCCTTAGATTTTCTGGCGAGGAGAAAAAATCATCGATTTAACCATACTGTTCGAAGAAACCGTCACACAAGTGATGTTGAAGTTATCTCTATAGTCCACAAGTTAATGTCATATTAGCATAATGTGGAGATCCAAAACATAATTACCAACTAGACTAAGACGTTTTATTCCTCACTATTTTATTAGATACATTATATATTCATGTTAGTGTAATCATTATACGAGACTACGAGAGCACCAACTTGAAATCTTTTGTAGTGGTGTATTTGTTGATTGTTGAAACTTATCCTAAGACGTACCATAACCATGAGCACGAGCTGTATACAAGCTTACTTTGGTTCCTACTTCCTACTCGCATTTAAACATTTAGCAACATTATGATCTAGTTCAAGTAATGTATAACCTCAGGTTTAGGAACCCCGAGATTCATAGAAGTTGCGTAGAAGCTGGATTGGGAGAATTAAGCTTGCTGATTTGTTGATGAGTAGCAATCCTCGGCCTCCTCATGGCAACAAATTAGAGGGAGAGGGGCCGATATATTTCTCTTGATAGTTCTCTTTGGATCATGATATTCATGAGATTCACTATGAGGTCCCCAGGGAGATTGATTTCAAGCTTATAATCTCTCACAAGTTTAAGTATAGTATACAATCTTCCAGCATCTTTGTCTAGACCCTAAAGGAAGAAGAACCAAACATAGATAGATTGATTATCAGTAACTAATCAATTACAAGATCCGGTGAGTGAACAAAAGTGTCACTGATTCCGTGATTTGTGTTTATAAAGACAAATAAGATTGTATTGCCGGTAAACTTCTTAAGTTAGATGGTCTTTTCTTTTAATAGGAAGTTGATTTTGAATTTTGATGAGACAAATTAAAAGAGAGACAACATCATATATAGTTCGTATTTCTGAAAATGATTTATCTAATCCACTATAACTTTACAAAGCCAAATCTGCTAAACTCTAAAATACAAGCTGTTGTTGAGTAATACTACTTTCTCGTTGCAGAGAACATTGTAAAGAACATCTAGCACTAGAGATTGACAATAACAGAGCCTTTTCTGTATCTCCATCCATTCGTCTTTCGATCAATCTGATGAGATACGCTAAAAAAGCGGAATCGAATGTCAATGTGATTGGTCCTTCTGTCGGGAGACCAAACTCTTCTTCAGATATTTTCAAGAGCTCTTGGACAATAGGGTTGCTCAGGTAACTTAAAGGAAAAGCAAAGCGGATTTTATCTGCCGTGTAAACCACGAAACAACCCTTCTCTACAGTGGTTGAGCTGCTAGAAGCACTTGAACTCTGAAATGAGATTCTTTTCCTGCTGAAGGCTGCTCTTTGTTGCCATTTCTTGGCCATCTTCAAGAGCTTCTTTGTGTTCATCATCATCATTTTAAAACAAAGATTAGATCGGAAAGTGAGATGAAGAATGAAAGAGAGATATTTGTGAGTTCTGTTTGTAAAGCTCTTTAAATGAAAGTTGTGGTTGATGAAGAATACCAATAAGCTTGTTTCATTATATAGAAGGAGAAACTATAAGATAGGCTTTGTGACAAGCTCCTGAGCAACCTAACCAGACACAACACATGCTTATGTTTCTACTCTGCTAGGGTCCCAAGTTGGTAATCAATTATGTCAGCTAATCAACTTGTGGACGATACAACTTATTGTGAGAAGACATGATCATGTGGGTATGAATCCTATATGGACATTTCTATGACAAGAGTTAGGTACTTAGATGTTGACGAAGAATACAAGAGGCTGGTTTACATTATATTATATATACCAAAAATGCCAAACTCATGGTCCCAGGTTGGTTAGTGGTCCATCAGCTGAATCAAATGTGAGTCACAAAAATAATCAGTCACAAATCTGATTCAAATTAATGATACGATAGAAAGATACAAAGAAATACATGTGCTGGTGCCTGCTGAAGCAAAGATGAAGAGCCTGTAGGTCCTTAGATTTTCTGGCCATGAAAAAAAGACAGTGAATCAACTATTCCTTGAGATAGATTAAGCTTAGATCATACAAACATCTCTTTTTATTAGTTTTTTTTCTCAGTCTTGTATTACTTCTGAGATATTCATAAGGAAAAATTGATGAATGAAAGTTTTAGTAAACCGTCACAAAAAATCTAGAAGTTGAAGTTATCTCATTTTTCTCTCTGTGCAATGAAAAATGACTTTGATGAGACAGTCTAAAAGATAGAAATAAAGAATAGTTTGTATTTCTGAAATAATCTGTCTAATCTAATACAGTAGAATCTTTACAAACACAGAAACTGGTACATACTAATTCTCTAAATCTAAAATACAAGCATCTGTTGAGTACTATGTTCTGGTTGTTGTAAAGAACATCTAGCACTAGAGATTGACATTAATAAAGCCTTTTCTGTGTCTCCATCCATTCGTCTTTCGATCAATTTGATAAGATACTCCATGAAAATCGAATCGAATGGCAATGTTATTGGTCCTTCCGTGGAGAGGCCAAACTCTTCTTCAGAGATCTTCAAGAGCTCTTGGAAAACAGAGTTGCTCAGGTAACTTAGAGGAAAAGCAAAGCGTGCGCTATCTGTCGTGTAAACCACAAAACAACCCTTCTCTGCAGCGGTTGAGCTGGTAGCAGTACTTGATCTTTGAAATGAGATCCTTTTCCTGTGGAGGGCTGCTCTTTGTTGCCATTTCTTGGCCATCTTGATTAGCTTTTTGGTGTTCATCATTCTTTTCAAGAAAATATTTTGTAGATCCGAAAGCACAAAGAGATTGTTACTTGTGTTGTAGAACTCTTTGAATGCAAGTTATGATTGATGAAGAATTCCATAGGCTTATTGCATTATATATAAGGAGAAGCTATTATTGTTTTAGAGCAACCAAGCCAGACAGAAACACATGCCAGGTTTCTTGACAGTGATCAAAAGGGTCCCAAGTTAGCAATCAATCTTATATTTCATATCAACTTGTGGATAAAAACATACATGGCGAGAACTGAGAAGACATTACCATGTTGGTATATGAATGTTATAATAAGGACTATTATATGTCAAGATTTAGCTTGATACAAAGACATTCCATATTAATTAAAGACCCTTTGATGTTCTCTAAACCTGCAGAAACTTCAATGGTTCGTACGGGTCTCAGTTTATTAATAAACTATGTCTGCAAATCAACTTTTGGACTATGCAACTTATTCATGTGGGTATGAATATTATATTTACATTTATATGACAAGAGTTAGGTACTAAGACATTGCTGAAGAATGCAAGAAAGCTGTAGTTACAGTATATACATAATGAGAACTTATACATTACAAGAGAAGCCAAAAAAATACCAAACTTATGCATCTGTACAGCTTTGTTTGTTAACATAAGGGGTCACTAGTTGGTTAGTGGTCCATCAGCTAAATCAAATGTGAGTCACAAAAATAATAGATGAAGGACTTATTATTCAGGGGACAACAAATCTTTTGATGAAATCAAGGACAACAAATGTGGTTAGAATTAATGATCAATTAGATACAAAGAAAGGCATGTGCTGATGAAGCAAGAATGAAGAGCATGTAGGTCCATAAAAGACAGGTAGCTAATCAACAGTTTCAGCTAAAAATTGAAATTCAAAACGACATGTTCTTGTGCAGTCTATGAGAAACTTGATGTAAGGCAATTTGATAGTGAAAGGCGTTTTACGCCCGCTGCACCATTTTTCTTGAAAGATATGTCTTCAAAGGAATAGATATGTTTTAGTGAAATGGCTCAAAGATTGTTCTTAAGACCTTAGGATGAGAATATGCGACAATGAAGTTAATTTAGATGAGAAGATCTAAAAGAGAGAGCAAGAAAAAAATAGTAGTTTGTATTTTTGAAATGATCTGTCTATCTGATACAGTAGAACTATAGAAGGATTTAGCGTGTAATTCTCTAAAATACAAGTAATTGTTGAGTACTACTACTTTGTTGTTCTTGTAGTTGCAAAGAGCATCTAGCACTAGAGATTGACATTAGCAGAGCCTTTTCTGTATCTCCATCGATTCTTCGTCCGATCAATGTGATGAGATACTCCAAGAAAACGGAATCGAACGGCAACGTGATTGGTCCACCTGCCGTGAGGCCGAACTCTTCTTCAGAGGATCCTCAAGAGCTCTTGGAAAACAGAGTTGTTCAGGTAACTTATGGGAAAAGCAAAGCGGATTTTATCAACCGTGTAAACCACGAAACAGCCCTTCTCCACAGCAGATGAGCTGCTACTAGTAGTAGTAGTACTTGATCTCTGAAATGATATTCTTTTCCTGTGTAGGGCTGCTCTCTGTTGCCATTTCTTGGCCATCTTGAGTAGTTTCTTAGTGTTGATCATCTTTTTCTTGGAAAGAGAGTTAAAAAAAGAGATTTGTAAGTTGTGTTGTAGCTTTGAATTAACGAAAGTTGTGATTGATGAAGAAGCTTTGTTGCATTATTATATAAAGAGAACTTAACTATTAGAGTTTTAGATATATATATATATATATATATATATATATATATATATATATATATATTTAAGAGCAACCAAAGCAGACAGAAACACATGCTCTTGTAGTTGTTGTCTAAAGGGGTCACAAATTAGAAATCAAATCATATCTGCTAAATCAACTGGTGGATTAGAAACCATTAACATGTTGATAAGAAACATGACCATGTGAGTATTAGATCAATGTTACAAAAGACATTTGAAGGTGAAAGAAAGATGGAGATCATGCGGGTCCTCTCATGTTCTTAGAGATGAGAGAAGCTAATTTTGACATACCGGTTTAATTAAAGTAAACCAAAATGAACCGAATTGAACCGAAAACCCTATTAGGTACCTCTGAAATCTTCCAATGCCTCCTCTTATATAAGAAAGCCGTCGCTGACTTCCTCATAGCTCAAACAGAGAGACTTTGAAAACTACACATAAAGCTTCGAATCATGTCTTGTTCGGGTTTAGGGCTAAAGTTGTGTCAATCTTATATGTCTTCTGCTTCTCTATAAACCCCAAATCCTCGATATTCTAGTTGTTGTGTTATTGGTGAATTGGGTGTTTGGTCTCTATTTTTCTTCGCTAGCTCAGATTCGATTGTGTTCTATGTTGTGATTTTTTTTTAATATTTGAGGGAAAGTGATGATATGAAATTGTCGCCCCAGGCTTAATCTGCATCCATTACGATGGATGTAACATGGTGATTGACTAATTTTTGTCTGATTCTCTCAATATTTTTGATGTTTTCGAATCTCTGTAATGGAAGTGATGAAATGGCATTAATGTTTTGTGACACCCAGTCTGATCTGTCTCGGCAGAGTGATTGATTTGCCATATTTGCTGATCCAAATTCTTTGGTATTATGTGTTTGATTTTGTGAATTTTGATTCAAAGTTTGAATTTTTGAAGAGGAGGAATGAGCCATACGTCTGCAAATCTGAAACACAGTGTTGATACATTGACATGCACTACCATCTGACCTCTATTTTGTTTTTAGTATTCTTTTACTTAGTTGTCTGCAATCAGTGATGAAATTATGTCAAATTCAATGATTATACAATGATTATTATAATCACTAGATCACCATCTTTCGGCTGAGATTGCAGATTTATTTTTGATTCATTGATATTGTTGATGGTTTGCCTATGGTATCTGATGTCCAAAGTTGATAAATTGTATTTGGACATTTCGTTTTTCTTAGGCAGAAAGTGAAAAATCAGGCTTTGCGACACTGTTGGCTTATCTCATAAGCTATCTGTTACTTTAATACCTGTTTACATCCTATTTTATCAATCTCTGGTTTTGTTTTGGTTTTAACCTTGTTGATTCTTATGTATTTTGTTTTATCTCGAGTCTTTAGTGTTGATGCATCTGACCCATCCCGCAGTTGTTTTCGTTTTGTTTCTATTCAATCTTGTTCGGCAGTGTTTATTTTGGTTACTTCTAATCTCTTTTTAATGTCATTTTGTTTGACATTTATTTGATCTTATAAAGACTCTTGATTCGATCCCAATCCAGTGATGCTTCCGTGTTTCGTTGACAAGTTTATGTCAGCTTGGTTACTGGAGAAAGTGAAGAGCATTGCTTGGACTTTAATGGGGTTCACATTGGTATTTGGATGAACCATAGTGGAATGTCCAAGTCACAAGAAGTTCTTATCTATTTGTAGTAGAATTCTTATGTAATTTTACAGTGACTTGTATGAGTATGACTATAGTTCTACTGATATTAAAAGATGTGACAGAGATTACTCCTTCGAACCTTGTTGGTATATAAGTTCTCTTTTGTTTGACAAGAAATATACATGAGACAATGAAGTTTGAGCAAATTGAATTACACATTCTCGTTTCAAACGATGTTTATGTTTTGATGTGTTGGTGGTATTTGAGGACCTCACTCTTCAGCTGGAGTGTTCCAAAACCTGTGTCACTTCAACAATTGTCTCCTCTCCTTTGCCTTTCAGTATCTCTTACACTTGTTGAGCTTTTCCTTTCTTTGGTGATCTCAGCTGGAGTTTTCCTCTGTTAATTGGAATTTAAGGATACCTCATTTTGGGTTAAAGCTTGAGCCATGGCCAGATACAATCAGTGTGTTTTGCTTAGTTCGATCATGGAGATGGATTTTGAAAAGCTTGTTTGGGATGGGATTGGATTATGCATGTTACCACATTGTGTCAAAGGTCATTTGAATATGTTCATGCTACTGAAATTCTACACACAGGAAATGCATGCTGCAATAATGAGAATAAGGATTTTATGTGTGTTTAGGACCAAAGAAAAAGCTCATTTGTATAAGATAACACTTTTTTGAGACAATTGTCTTGTATACAACTTTCTTCAATGCAAAAAAGGGATACAATATTCGACTAATACATGTAAGAAACAATCAATTGGATCGTAAAAGGAACATTTGTCGACTATATTATATTAACCCACACTCTTCTTCGTTTCCTTGATCTCAGGCTATTGCCGACTGAATTGTCTCGGCCTCTGTAGGACGCCACCATGACTTCTGAACAGAGAGCAATCCTTCTCCATCTTTGGAATGTGTCATTCTTACATTCCATTTCATCGATTTCACCATCTTCTCAATTTCTCCTATCGTTTCCATGTCATCTCTTACTATGAAAGTTCCTTGTGGTCTAAGAATCCGGTCTACTTCAGCCATTACCCCCACCAAGTTGCACCTAAAGTGATTTTGTTTATACATAGCCATCAGAGTTTGCAATCAAGAATTATATATTTGATAGACAAAGGAGATGCATAAATGTGTATATATACCTCTTTTTCAGTGAAGAGAAAAGATGATCAGCATGAAGAAGGTCGTAAGTCCGAGGGTAAGTGCTGAATGATTCACACCAATCATGATAGATTCCAAACAAACCACGTTCGTATATAATTGGAAGTGTATCAGGTGAGTCAATAGGTACTACATTCATCACCCACAGTTTCAGATCTTTCAATGCAGCAGCAAAACTGAAAACCAAAAAGAGAGAAAAAGATTTCATTAAAAACGTATCAATAGAGCCAATTTTGTTATGATGTAAGATGCTTACCCTCCATAGACAGCTCTCATGTCCATCACATTTCTCACATAAGACCAATCGATTCCCATACCGTTGAGGTATGACTTTGAAACAATAGTCTTCCAGCGTTCATGGTCTGCTGTGAAATCCTCTTGTGCAGGTTTTCCATATACACCTTCCTGAGAATCTAACCACTGAGGAACAGTCTCCACTCTTTCTGGCCAACTTTCAGGCCAAACTGCTCCGCGTTTCGATGAATCTTCTGTTACCTTGTGCATACATGCCTCAAGTGGAACATTCCTGCATCAAACAAAAATATTAGCAACAGAACTACATTGGATTACTAGTCAATTGTCAATTGATGTAAGAAGGGGAATAGAAAAACTACCATGCAGCATTTTGATCATCAGAGTCTTTGCAGAGAGGTGGCTCATTTTGAGATCTTTCGTTGTAGCATTTATTTGACATTGGCTTCTGGTAAATGGCAGCACCAACTTCATTCAGTTCATCTTTCTTAATGGTCATCAGTTTCCAGCACATTGCCTTTGTTAGCTTTGACATAGCTACAAAACAGAGAATAGTATCTCACAATTTAGTTAAAATAAATTGCCAAAGCCATCTATCCATGGCCAAACAAAAGAGAATAAATTTCCCAACCTTTCCATATACCAACATCTTCCTCAGTCTTCCTGTAGACTGGAGTCGCTGACCAGACAAAGAAACCACCTGGCCTCAATGCACGATTCAACTCCAAAAGTAGTTTACCACCTTCAGTTCAGATGACCAAAAAAGGTTATTCAATGAAAAAATAAAAAAGACTGAATTACTCTACAATATCGGAAACTTTTTACCTTCGATATGCCAAGGGACTCTACAACGAGCACAATGTATAAGGTCGAAAACAGATCCTGGAAAAGGTAATCTCTTGGTTCCCATAACATTTGACATTGCAGGAATACCACGTTCCAGTGCAAATTGCACCTGTGCCTCGTGTTCGTCTTTGGGTGCAAATGACAAAGCAAGTACATCTCTGTCAAAAAGATATCCCCCAAAGCTAGCAACCCCACACCCAACATCCAATATAACACGGGTCCTATTTCCCCACGCAATATCAGGATATGACTGCAAAAACATATAATAATAAAGTCAATAGTAGTCAAATGAGAAAGATGTGTAAACATTGCATGAAAGATCAATAATAGGTTGTACCTCTTGGAGGAAATCAATGTAGTGAAGAGCACCATTCTTGAACTGAGTACCTCCACCAGGGAATGTTAAGTATTCACCACTCATCTTCACCCAGTTTTGATGTCCCTTGACTTCTGCAAGCTTGGTGTGAGGAACATTGGTGTACCAGATCTGCGGCAATACAAAACAGAATAATTAATCGATATCATTCCACAAAAAACATAAAAGAGTGCAAGCAGGTTTTTGTCTTTCTAATATGTATATTGAATTTATTACCTTTTCTCTGCTCTTAGGCCACTTGATGGATCGCTTATACCCTTCAGGAAGAGAAACAAGGCAGCGTGGAGATTCCTCGGGACAATGCCTCTCACGATGTTCATAATGCTTTGTCGAATGAAGCTTTCTGATAGCTAGCCAATTGTCAAGGCAAGGGATGTAGTCTGGTCCAGCTGTCACATTGCAGACTTTCCATTTAATTGACGACACTTGTGCTTTCTTCTCATTCTGCGATTCAACCAATTGGGTAGACCAAGCCCCACTTCCAGTGCTTGACTCCTTTGTGATTTCAGCCTGGTCTCCAGCTGGGAAAACATCCTTACTCTTCTCAGTGCTCTCTTCAGTTTCACCAGCGTTTTCTTCTGACTTCTTCTCGGCGTTCTCTTCAGATTCACCAGTATTTTCTTCAGTTCCATTACCATCTTCAGATTTGTTTTCTTCTGAGCTCTCTTCCAGTTGTGTTTTCTCTTTTTGCTTGGCTTCATCACTTTCTGATTCCGTGT